ACGTCTCTGAGCGACCCGAGCGACGAGAAGCTGCCGACGGGGAAGATGGAGGTCGTGGAGGTCAAACCGAAACCTGAGGTGACGGCAGCCCCCCCGCCCGTACGAACCAGAACGTCTCCTCCTCCCAAACCCCCCGTCAGGATGCTCACCAGGATGGGAAGCCTGGACTGTGAGTGAACCGCCAGCAGCACCCTGATGTTTCATATTCTGGTCCCAAAATGGTGGAATTAGTTCCCCATTGATATCAGAGAGTTTACACACATTTTTTCGCAGACTACAAACTCACCTGTTTCGACACATCTTCAATAAAAATGATCATTCTGTACCTAGCACTTAAAAAGGATTTGGCTTTAAGTGAAGCTAATGCGATGGCACTTCATCTGGTTGGGCAAATAGATGGGAAATAATAATAATAACAATAATAAAGCTTTATTTGTATAGCACTTTTCATACACTAGATACTAGTACTTTAACAAAAGGCACACATTGCAAACTAAAACAGGGAACAAGAAATTCACCTCAGACAGTTTAACATTATAAGGGGAGACGAGGTAAAAGGTACGATAATCAAAATAAAATACAGTAAAATAAATATCCCTATCCGAAAAATAAAGGACAAGATATACAATATAATATAAAAATATACATATTTAATAAAATAAAAATAATTATATATATAATAAAGGTTGAAAGATTACAAGACCAACTTCAAAATTAAATCTCGCTAATTAAACTGTTACATAAATAATATAAGTAATAACCTATAAATAAATAAAACAATATAAAAATAAATAAAGACTAAAACATTGTTTAAAAGGGGGGTGTCGCTAATAAAAAGCTAATCTAAAAAGATGTGTCTTGAGCTGCGGTTCCAAAATGTCCACTGCGTTTGCCTCTCCGTACCTCTGTAATGCTGCTGCAGGATTCCCGCTTTTTTTTGCTTTTCCACTAGGGGTAGTTCAGGGCTACCTTTTCACCTTTTTTCTGGCCCTCCAAAATTGAGGTTCTTACCGGGCCAACAACCGGGCTGAATATGCTAAACTAGTGACGTAAACACTCTCGACTGCTGAATGGTCAGAGAGAATCGCTGGCAAGGGGGCTACAACTACAACAAAATGAACATATTTGACCGTGATTTAATTGTAAAACCTTTTAAAATGCGTGTTTTCTGAATGGAGATCGGATCGATCAGGCTAAGCTAACGTTGTATTATGCTCCGTCCACACTCACAACAACGGCCTATACAGACATAAATAAACCAGCGACTGTACTCGCCATGACACAGACAGTCTGTGGTTTGTACTTGTTTAACTTTTGTCTAGTTTCTGAACAGATATGAGGAGCTGTGAGCTCTGAGTGCTAACAGCTAACGGCGGATGTTTTGGTTTTGTGGTTCGCATTGAAGATGACGTCACGGCAGTTTTACGCAGCGTCGCTCCGCCCGCCGAACAGCCGATCGCCCCGCCTACACTGCGTTACTATAGTTACTACCATAGTAACTAAAATGTAATGGAAACGCAGCATAAAGTGAGCCTGGCCTACCAAGGCCTAACCATACCGTACTAAGCCGTGCTAGGTCCTGCAGTGGAAAAGCACCATTAGAGTCAGCTAAATGTAATGTAATGTAACCCCCACCCCCATCCCCCTCAGTGTCTCACTCTCTTGCCTCTCATCCCCAGGTGCCCCTTCAGTGCCGGTGAAGAAGTCTCCGGCCACCCTACCCAGGAACTTCACGCTCCCCAAAGACCCCCACGGCTCCCTGCTGAGAGGCCGGATGTCCACCCCCACCGGGTCCCCCCACCTGGGGGCGCTGCACCCCCCGCTGCCCCCCAGCTGCATCATCGAGGAGCTGCACCGAGCGCTCGCCACCAAACACAGGCAGGACAGGTCAGTGTGGAGATATACAGACTTATTTAACATATGCTTTAAAGGTCACCTATTATGCAAAATCCACGTTTTCATGTCTTTTCTATATCAACACGTGTCCCCTCTTCTTCATGTCTCTTCTTCATCAACATGTGTCCCCTCTTTTTCACGTCTCTTCTACATCAACACGTGTCCCCTCTTTTTCATGTCTCTTCTACATCAACATGTGTCCCCTCTGTGTGAAGAGATTCTGAAAGTTTCAGGAAAAAAGATTCTCTCTCTTTTTGTCCTGATCCATTTATATAAAAACCTGTCTGAAAATGAGCTGATCTGATTTTGGCCACTTTATGATGTCATAACGATGTTTCGGCTCGTGTAACCATTAGCCAATCACCAACCAAGGTAACCCCCCCCACACCTTATCACCTGAATCTCCTCTTAGAGCACCATTGTGACTTAAAAACTCACCTGTTCACCATGGCCTTTGACCCCTAACCCATCACAGTGCCCCTGCTTCCACTCCTACTGCTATTTATTTAATTTTGATTTTATTATTTGCCCCTTTTGTTTGTTTGTTTGTTGGTTGGGGTTAACCCTATTTTCTTTTTTAAGAAGGGGCAGGTGAAATAAGATTTTCTTCTCCCTGTTCCTTTCCACCATGCGCTATAACAAATAAAAACAGTATAAGTGTACATGTTTTGTTTTAAAATAACTGCCATGTGTGGAATAAACAAACAAACAAATAAATAAATGTGTGACTCCAGTTTTCCAGACGAAGGACGCTTGCTCGTCTCTGTATATACATATGTATGTATTTATCCTGAAATGGTGCAACAGCCCAAAATCCTAATTTCCACCCGGTATAAATAAAGTATTGTGATTTAGTCGAGGACAGCCTACAAACAGTACATCACAGGTGCCTGGGTATAGGTTTTAGATACTTAAAGTGAATCCACACCTTCCAGCCAATCAGAATAGAGACTTCCCGCTGGCCATGGTGTTATAAAGCTATAACTTACAGACTTGTCCTTGTGATGTTTGACCTCAGTTTCCAGACGAAGGACTCTCGCTCGTCTCTGAAGCGCCGGATGGACGGCCGTCTGTCCCGGACGTCCAGCACGGAGCGGGAATCGAACCGAGAGACGGACGGGAAGAAAGAGTCGGACGAGAACAAGGAGAACTGGCGTCTCGACGAATACCTGAACGACCAGGACAGCTGGAACGACTCCGTCATCTCCGGTAGGGCTGCTGTACTCGCTCTAACACGATGTACAATATGGATTTAATGTGATTTTATTGATTTAGGCAAGGCAAGTTTATTTATATAGCACCTTTCAACACAAGGCAATTCAAAGTGCTTTACAAAAATGAAAGACTTTAAGAAAATGGCATTTAAAAACAGTCATTAAAAAGCAAAGATAATACAATAAAAATACATGAATAATAGTTACAGTGCAGTGTAAGATATGGATAGTTAAATTGAAAGCAGCAGCAAAAATAAAAGTCTTCAGCCTGGACTTAAACTGATCGTATTGCTACTGCTGAGAAGAAGTTGTAAATTCCACTGGCTAAACTGCAACGAAAGCAACGTAACTTAAAATGACGGCAGAATTTATCGAGGTTTTCTGTTAATGTCCAAGTCTGTTCACATTTTCTTTACCATTAACCAGTCTTTAAACACTGCCAGAGCCCATACTGTGTTCCCTTTAGGGTTTACTTCCTGTCTGTCTTCTTCTGCTGTTCCCGTTAGTGTTTACTTCCTGTCTGTCTACTTCTGCTGTTCCCGTTAGTGTTTACTTCCTGTCTGTCTACTTCTGCTGTTTTAAAATAAAACCCTGTCTGTCTTCTGTTGATTTCGTCCAGCGCTCTGTCTTTAAACTTCTTTCCTTCTCTTGCACTGTTTTTCGTTTCTTTACTTGTGACATTTTAGACTTCATGTATCCAAACATTTACAGACCTCTGGAATGTCCAAATGGTCCAATCAAAATTAAATATATTCCACTCAGCCATGTAATAACTGCTGCTAAAGTACAGATTCTGGTCGGCCAGTCAGTGGATAATGAAGCTGCGGATGTTTGTTTACAGTCAGGGAGGTTTACGGCCATGAAGAGCAGCAGCAGACTCACCGGTGTTGGGTTTCAGTCGCCTCGTCTACTCCGCTCTGACCTCATGTGGGTCACAGCGTCTGCAGTTTACATGTCTGTGAACCTGGAGGGGAATCTAAAAAGCAGCAGGCTGCAGTAATGACGGACAGGTCAGCACGAGGGCTGCAAGTATCTGATGACTGCAGAGAAAGAGAAATATGTAGTGAGCAGTGAGACAATAGAGACTGAACTTTAAAGGTCACCTATTATGCAAAATCCACTTCTACATGTTTCTTCTACATCAACACGTGTCCCCTCTTTTTCACGTCTCTTCTACATCAACATGTGTCCCCTCTTCTTCACGTCTCTTCTACATCAACATGTGTCCCCTCTGTGTAAAGAGACTCTGAAAGTTTCAGGAAAAAAGATTCTCTCTCTTTTTGTCCTGATCCATTTATATAAAAACCTGTCTGAAAATGAGCCAATCACCAACCACGGTACCCCCCCCCCCCACACCTTATCACCTGAATCTCCTCCTAGAGCACCATTGTGTTCTTTTTAACCAAATATCTCTCAGAGGGGCGTGGGGAGGGGCTCCTTATTTTCATCTAAAGTAACAGACTGAGAATCAGCACTTTTGAAACAGGGCTGAAACAGAGGGGATTATGGGATGCTAGAATGATCTGTTTAGTATAATAGGGGACCTTTAGTTAATGTTTAACTTAAGTGGAAATAAGGCAAAACTATGGCGAAAACTATTATATAAGTGAATTACAAATAAAACCCTAAGCTCATACTTTAACATCTTGGAATAAGTAGTAAGCATGTGTTTAATTAATAAGGTGTTAGCAGAAAGTACAAAGGCCCTCTGTGTGTTGATCAGCACGAGTTCAGCTGAAGTGGGTATTGACCTTATTGTGTGCCCCCCCCCCCTATTCTGCTCATTTTCAGGTTCATATTTGTATGTAGTGTCTCTACTTTAAAGAGTCCTCTCCTGCTGATGTTCAGGTGTATATCAGTATGTAGTGTCTCTACTTTAAAGAGTCCTCTCCTGCTGATGTTCAGGTGTATATCAGTATGTAGTGTCTCTACTTTAAAGAGTCCTCTCCTGCTGATGTTCAGGTGTATATCAGTATGTAGTGTCTCTACTTTAAAGAGTCCTCTCCTGCTGATGTTCAGGTGTATATCAGTATGTAGTGTCTCTACTTTAAAGAGTCCTCTCCTGTTGATGTTCAGGTGTATATCAGTATGTAGTGTCTCTACTTTAAAGAGTCCTCTCCTGTTGATGTTCAGGTGTATATCAGTATGTAGTGTCTCTACTTTAAAGAGTCCTCTCCTGCTGATGTTCAGGTGTATATCAGTATGTAGTGTCTCTACTTTAAAGAGTCCTCTCCTGTTGATGTTCAGGTGTATATCAGTATGTAGTGTCTCTACTTTAAAGAGCCCTCTCCTGCTGATGTTCAGGTGTATATCAGTATGTAGTGTCTCTACTTTAAAGAGTCCTCTCCTGTTGATGTTCAGGTGTATATCAGTATGTAGTGTCTCTACTTTAAAGAGTCCTCTCCTGATGATGTTCAGGTGTATATCAGTATGTAGTGTCTCTACTTTAAAGAGTCCTCTCCTGCTGATGTTCAGGTGTATATCAGTATGTAGTGTCTCTACTTTAAAGAGTCCTCTCATGCTGATGTTCAGGTGTATATCAGTATTTAGTGTCTCTACTTTAAAGAGTCCTCTCCTGCTGATGTTCAGGTGTATATCAGTATTTAGTGTCTCTACTTTAAAGAGTCCTCTCCTGCTGATGTTCAGGTGTATATCAGTATGTAGTGTCTCTACTTTAAAGAGTCCTCTCCTGATGATGTTCAGGTGTATATCAGTATGTAGTGTCTCTACTTTAAAGAGTCCTCTCCTGCTGATGTTCAGGTGTATATCAGTATGTCGTGTCTCTACTTTAAAGAGTCCTCTCTTGCTGATGTTCAGGTGTATATCAGTATGTAGTGTCTCTACTTTAAAGAGTCCTCTCCTGCTGATGTTCAGGTGTATATCAGTATGTAGTGTCTCTACTTTAAAGAGTCCTCTCCTGCTGATGTTCAGGTGTATATCAGTATGTAGTGTCTCTACTTTAAAGAGTCCTCTCCTGCTGATGTTCAGGTGTATATCAGTATGTAGTGTCTCTACTTTAAAGAGTCCTCTCCTGCTGATGTTCAGGTGTATATCAGTATGTAGTGTCTCTACTTTAAAGAGTCCTCTCCTGCTGATGTTCAGGTGTATATCAGTATGTAGTGTCTCTACTTTAAAGAGTCCTCTCCTGCTGATGTTCAGGTGTATATCAGTATGTAGTGTCTCTACTTTAAAGAGTCCTCTCCTGCTGATGTTCAGGTGTATATCAGTATGTAGTGTCTCTACTTTAAAGAGTCCTCTCCTGCTGATGTTCAGGTGTATATCAGTATGTAGTGTCTCTCCTGGGACATGTCTCCATGCTTTAATGTTCCAAAACTCTTTATTGTCCTCATACTGCCTGTGCTGCAGCACCTCTTTTCACCCTCTGTCTGAAACCAGAGCCCAGTCTGCTCTGATTGGTTAGCTGGACGGCTCTGTTGTGATTGGTCAACCGCTTAGACATGTCCCGCCCCTTAGCCTTTCACGTACAATGTGTTGGAGCGCTAGCCAATAGAAGTGAATGTGTTACATATGTACAAAGGATGCTTCAGTCTGACTTTATTTAATCTCCCATTAGATGGTAGCAGTTCATACTCTCTGTTCAGAACATGCTTTGGGTCCGAGATGATGATGTAAAGACTGCATTTAGATTTAGACATATTAGCTTTTTATCAGCAACCCCCCACTTGATATGTTCTTTTAGTCTTTATTATTTACCTACCTATATATTGTTTTATTTCTTTTTATAGGTCTTAAAGGATTTTATCTTATTTTATTAATCTAACATGCTTCAATAGCAATATTTATTTTCCCGTTGAATTTTTTCATTTCTTAATCGTTTAACCTTTACTAGAATTATGGCATTTTTATTACTATTATTACTATTACTATTAATATGTTTATTTCTGTTGTACCTATATGTTCACTTTGTTTTATTGGGTTTTATATTTTATATTGTTGCATCGACTCAGTTGTCTTGTGTCTTATCTGTCAGAGAGAAACCTTTATTTATTTGTATTATCATACCTTTCACCTCCTTGTGTCTCTTAACCTGATAAAATGTGATATTTTGCTGCATGTACCTTTTAAAGTTCTTAACAAATAATCTGAGGGGAATTTCTTTCGTTGTTTGTTTTTTAACGTGTCATTTTGTAAAGCGCTTTGAGCTGCATGTGTTGTAGGAAAAGTGCTATATAAATAAAGCTTTATTATTGAATACAGTACAGTAACAGTACATCCTGTCTCCCCCCCCCCTACAGGGACTCTCCCCCGCCGGGTGAGGAAGGAGCTTCTGGCCGTGAAGCTGAGGAACCGGCCCAGCCAGCAGGAGCTCGAGGACAGGAACATCTTCCCGGTGCGCAGCGACCAGGAGAGGCAGGAGATCCGACAGCAGATCGAGACCAAGCTGGCCAAGTGAGTCACTTTGTAGACGCCGTCACCCCCCCCCCCAACATCACCCCCCCCCCCCCCACCATCAGACCCCCCACCTATGTCTGTCCCATCACTCAACATCACTGCTGTCTGCACCTGTGTTCCAACATCACCTAACAGATGCTCGGTCCTTGAACACACCACGCACAACAAGGCTAAGTTTTAACTTGAAACATATTTTAAAGGTCATGCAAAATGCACTTTTTGATGTCTTTTATACATAAATATGTGTCCCCGGTGCGTCAGGGAACTCACAAAGTGTCCGAAAATAAAACCCTCTCTCTTTTCCTCCATACCCAAATCTCTAAAAACGGGGGAACAACGGAGCTGATCCAGATTTGCATCCGATATGACGTAATATCTGAAATATGGGCTGGCTTTACACCCACGTCGCTATCAGAAACGTCGCTATCAGAAACAAATGCACGGCGTGTTTTGGACGTAATATGGTCTTTGTTTACATTAGCAAGCATCGCTAACACGCTAACCTGTACTGGAGAGAGTATGTGTAAAGAAGCAGGAAATAAAAAAAGGAACTCACCTTGTTGTAAACCCGAGAGAGAAAAAGGATTTGAGCTCCATACTGTTTCAGAAATAATGATATGATGAAAGCATGATATGGCGTTTCATCCCGGGAGCATTTAGCTGTATCTGGGTAGAGTTCTCATAAGTTCTGCATAAGCTCCGCCCCCTCTTTCTTTTTAACGCTTTATACCCAGAATCAGCACTTTAGTAACAGGGCTGAAACGGAGGGATATGAGGCACTATAATGGATGATCTGTTTGGTATTTGGAGCAAAACACTTTATAGACATGTTTTTTATATATTTGTATATATCTGAGACCTATAATATATGCCTAAAAATAGCGTGATAGGAGACCTTTAAAATTGGGAGGGTTTATCCAGCTCCAGTTCACTGACCATTCAAATCAGAGTTTATGAGTAGAGACACATGTACGCGGACATGAAGTTTAACAATTTCTTGACACGTATTTACCTAGTATTTCTTTTTGCAGAATCAGTGTTTGAAGTGTTTCTAGAGCACATGTTTGGGACCTTGTTCAGGCAAAATGGGAAAGCGTTGCACAATGAATGTTAAAAAGAAATGAAATGTTATTGAAAATGCAATATGGTCTAGTCTAATATCCAAATTGCATGTTTGCTAAAGGCAAGGGTTAATATCTGTAGTATTGTAGGGGGAACAAATCCTTGTTTGGTACAGATCCTATCGCAATTGCTATATCAATCAAGATATATATATTTTTTTCTCATTCAGGGATGTTTTGACAACTTAGTATCATCGTAGGGCTACTACGATGATACTAAATTGTCAAAACAACCCTCCTCTCTGTTACAGTACAGCTGATAAACCTCTATACCTCTATATCAGCAGCACGACTCATTTTAGACCTTCAAATCTCACGTTGTAATGTGTGTGCTCGACCCTAATATGAAAGAAATCCTATTCCTCACAGATAAAGGACTACAAAGTGTGCAAGGTCACACCTGCTGCAGAGCGAACAAAGACAGGCAGAAGAGGGACAAGCAAACATGGATGTAAACACTTTTAATACAGAAAACTCTACAGGGAAACTTTAACCAATGTGTTCAGAATACTATACGATTAAAGAAATCACCACTTCCACCACGAGACCCAAAATAACAAACATCTGCATTTATAAACTATTGATGAAGAACGGAACAAAACATGGGATTTAAATGTATATTTTCATTATAAAGTACATCGTGGAAATAATGAAATATGCTGAATAATGTTACATTTTCAACCTCCTCATGAAGTCATGTACAAATCACCTTCTTTCTGATCCCTCCATTTCTTACCCGCCACCATTTAGTGATATAATTATTGACTTATTTTCAAATGATGCTCACCAAACATGCAGGTATACAGCTATGGAAGAAATTAAGAGACAACTGTCATTATCAGTTCCTCTGGTTTGACCATTTATAGGTATGTGTTTTTTTTATTCTGTAAACTACTGACAACATTGCTCTGTGTTGGAGTTTAACCGACGCTGTAAAAGAAATGGCTGCCATACATGTAGAGCAGGGGTCACCAACCTTTTTTAGGCTGAGGGCTACTTTCAAAAAATAAAACAAGTCGGGGGGCTACTTTTACTCCTCTTTTTTTTGTTTTTTGCAGTGTATATATTTAGCACATTTTAACATTATGATATGCTGACCTTTAACCTTTGTGTGCTGTTTGGGTCTGTGGGACCCGTTTGCAGTGTTTACTAAAAGAACATGTATGCAATCTAATTATTTTAACCTGCTTTATTTGGGGGTGGACGGGCCTCACCTCCTCTAGGGGGGTCCTCACCTCCTCTAGGGGGGTCCTCACCTCCTCTAGGGGGGTCCTCACCTCCTCTAGGGGGGGCATGCTCCCCCGGGAAGATTGTTTTTAAATGTTGAAGTGAAATGCATCAATCTGGAGCACTTTGAGCACAACATGAATTGATGGATACAGCTCTCAACACTCAGATGAAAGGGAGCGGTATACTTTTCAATAATCCAAACATCTTTAGAATATGATCACCAATAACAAATCATTTAAACCTGTTTATTCTTATCTTATGTTACCTAGTTTGCATTCTTTCTTTTTATTTATGCTTATTTTACTAATCACTCTCAAACAGTTTTTTGTTTTTTTTACTGTCCTATACACATTGGAATGATTTCTGACTTTATCTATATTAAATAGATAAAGGTGTGCTCTCCCTAGCTCTCTCACTCGCTCTCTCTCTCTCCCCCCCCCTCTCTCTCTCTCTCTCTCTCTCTCCTCTCTCTCCCCCCCCTCTCTCTCTCTCTCTCTCTCTCCCTCTCTCCCTCCCTAGCTCTCTCGCTCGCTCTCCCTCTGTCTCTCTCTCTCTCCCTCCCTAGCTCTCTCGCTCTCTCTCTCTCTCTCCCTCTGTCTCGCTCGCTCACAGAGGCTGTGCGCTCCTCCGTGTCGATGACGGCTTGCGTTAAAAAATAATAATAAACATATTTGTAAAGTGGGGGGACACAAACGGGATTTCGAAAAGAGCGGGGGACATTTCCCCCCTGTCCCAGGTGGAAATTACGCCATGCGTGTGTGTGCGTCAAGTGCAATACATATATATGCAAGTTGCAACACACAGAGTAAAACTCTGCCCCTCATGTGTTGTATAGGCTGGCATCAGTGGCATGATAGGCTGTTCAATGGGGCTGATGTGTTGTGTAGATTCTGCCAGAAGGAAAATCAGCGGGGAGGTGCCACATTGCTTTTCTTCCCGACTGCAACGCTGGTCCCGCAAATCAAGCAAGAACTTGATTGGTCGATATTCATTGTGGAGGTGGGGGGAGGAGGGGTGTTAGATAGATATAGAGTTGTAAGTAGATAGAGTTCGCTAAGATTTAGGTTTCGTTTATTCATAGGGTAGATTCTTTTAATTACATTTCCTTTTTTGTTTTGTGTATTTTATACATTTTGGATTTGCTTGGCGAGCTATTTTTAGAAAATGCCCCTGCGGACGACTAAGTGCCCGCGGGCACCGTGTTGGCTACCCCTGATGTAGAGATTGAGTTTTAAGAACAATGTGGAGTGGTCTCTTTATTTTGTATCACCATTCACTTGTTACTACCACATTTACATATTTAAAACTGACTATCATACAATCTTTATGAACGTATCACACATAGTCAAAACACACCGTCTAAAAATGTTTGCATAAATGTACTTAAAGGCATACAGAAGAATCCACCTTATTTGTCAAAAAGAAACGTTTTAAGCATTTATGAAAACTAAAGGTCCCATGTCATGGCCATTTCTACTGATCATAATTCCATTGTTGAGGTCTACTAGAATATATTTACATTGTGCAATTTTCCAAACTCACATTGGTTTCTCATACAGCATCTCTGTAAAGTATGTGTATTCACTCTCTGTTCTAAACGGCTTGTTGGAGCTCCTGCCCCCCCCCTCCCTGTGAGCCCAGTGTGCTCTGATTGGTCAAGCGGCGTGCAGCTGCTCACGAGCAGTGAGGAGCTGCTGCGAGGAGCGGACAGGCTTCCGTGTCGGCGATACAGCTAGAACAAGCGAAACTCATCCTGAGCACACACAAACACTCACAGCCGAAGTAAAAACAATAAGTGTGGCTTGATATTGAGTAAGAAAAAGGTTTATAACGCTGTGAGAATGGGTCTGCGGAGAGCATTTCTCCGCGATCCCAACTTAGCAGTCCGAAAAACATTTACCCATTTAAACAGTTGTGGTAGATACCTTGTTTGTTTTAAACATCATAAATACACAAACAACAATGAATACTTACAGGTTGTGTACCCGAATCTCCCGCTGGTCCAAACAAAGTAGGAACAGCATCGTTCTTCAGTGCCCTACGCTGTACATATCCGGCATGAATCGCTGAAAGGTTTGGGAAGCTTTGTTTCGTGAAAGGCTGGCCATAGCTCTGGGTGTGGCTACTGGGTGTGGCTACTGGGTGTGGCTACTGGGTGTGGCTACTGGGTGTGGCTACTGGGTATCCCCACGTCAGAGTACCCAGGATGTAAATGAGAAATCTCCAACGAGACGTTTTGGGGCAGCATAGACAGGTCTTTTCTGTGTTAGAGTTTTACTCCCTACAGGGTGTACTTTGAGGGTTTTTGACTCTGCAGACCGTTTACATGCATAAAAACCTTCATAACACACAAGGGGACGGGTAATAACCGGAAAACCATGACATGGGACCTTTAAAACAAAAATAGAAAAAAAAAAAATGTCTACAGATTGTAGAAGTATTCATAAAAATAACAGGAAAACTCATAATTGATGCAAAATTCACAGGAAGTATTCAGTTTGAGGACTTAAGAAGCCTAAGAGGGTCCAATGTCTCCCCAAAATCCAACAGGAAACACTACATATTGTTCCAATTTCACTCTGCCAATTGGTGACGCAATAACAACAGGTCCTAAACCCTGCAGTACAGAACAGCTTATTACAACAG